GTAAAATATTTTACAACAATTTGAAGTTTAAAAAGAAAAGTTTAGAAAATGACTAAGTAAAATTGGCCACAATTTGAACAAATAATATTTACAAATGTCTTTGAGTGCAAAATAGAGACCACTCCAAAATGTGCCAGCATTGCTTTATTTTATAAGTCTGCACATGAAGAACAATTCATGTAGTTAAAAAAAAACCTGCTCATTGAAGGGGTGTATGTCAGGACTATGAGTATTGTAAAGCATAGTTATCCTTCTTGTGTTACAACAGGGTTACAACAATTTGGGTGCATTGAGGAGCGACTCAAACATCCATTTTATTGAGCAATAGCGTGCATGCTAGGCTACAAGGGACAAAACTGTGTGAGGACTTGGTCAGTGTCCAGAGAGATAACAGAAACAGGCTGTCCAGTAATCTGTTTTATAACTGGACTACACACCGTAGGCCCTTCCATTATGAAAAAATGTAAGCGCTCTATTTCTTTAAAAAGTAGAGAGTAAAACCTTTTACTTTTCAAAAGTATTCACTGTAAAGCTCAACAGCAGTGGGTTAGCCTGAGATAAATAACAGTCTGATACAGTAGGCATGCACTCTCAGAGAAAATACGCACTCGAGGGTTGCACTTCTTGAGTCTGCTGTCATTCTGATGAATTATTTAAACATCTTGAGCATCTTTGTTTACACAGTGTCAAAGAAATGTTTCATTTTGCAGCAGTGATTTATATTTTGGCACCAAAACTTGATTTTGACACATGAAATTAAAGGTTTGAACAAGCTATAGCCTTTTGCACGTTATTTATAATGCTTTGATGAGTGTATGAGATGTTTTGATCTTTATATTTGATGACCTTTGAGAAAGTTTCCAGAGATGTGCTAGGATAAAGCTCGTGCTGCTGCACTTCCACTGATATGTGTCTATTTCTCAGAATCATAGTGATGATAAATTAATCACTGGTAAGCAATAAAACCCAGCACACTGGACTTTGATCATGGCAAATGGCTTTATTTTTGTCATATCAACAGCACACTTAATGACACGACTACCATCCACAGCTCTTTTGTGGAAATCCTCTCAGAGATGAGGTGATTTGTACTAATGAAAGGAGGTCGTCCAGTGACAAGGTGACGAGGTTATAATGAATCAGCAAACTAACTCAAGTCTGTCAGTGATAACTATCTGCTCTCTAAACATCCTCAAACTTTAACACAAAACCTTGTCCAGATCATTTCATGAACAGTAAATGTGATCAAATATAAAAGAACCTTTTAAAAGTACAAAATGAATCAAATTACAAACACAAGTAGATATTATCGTATACATCGCGTACACAAAGCAAAGCATGTTATTTCTATTTCAAAGCCATATACATACATGAGGCAAGCGTGGCAGCTAAAGCTGTCTTCGTACAAGGCAAAGCGATGACGCATTTAAAGCATGAGTGTGGATATTTTTTCATAAGTGCACTAAATACGTTAGCTAGCTTATTGCTGCTGCGTACACATACATTCTAGCATGTGTTAAAAAAACGGTAATGTGCAGTTACATTAAGTAACGTGTAGGTAATGTGAGTGCTTCTTTCTCTATGGGAGTAGATATAACTCTGTTTGCCTGTATGAATGAGCATCATGCAGTGACTTAACTATCAGAAAGCTGCAGTAAATGGACACCAGTTTGAAAAAGCAGTTTCTACCAAAATCAAGTTTCTAGTTTTAAAATCACTACTTTGCTCCATGAACTCAGTTTCTTAGTATCCTAAAGTGCTGCTTGTGTTTCCTCTCCTTCCTGCACATTAAAGAAAAACATTAACAGACCTCATAGTTACTACTGCACAGTTATTGTTTTGTTTTGACACAAAGCAATAAAAGTAATCCAGCACAGTAAAAAAAAAAAGAAAAATAGATAAAGTCACATGGAAGACTGACATAGTCACAAACATTATTCTGCGATTACAGTTTAACTTCGCACACAGGTTTCATGACGTTAATACAGGTACTGACCACTTCAGACTAATAGCAGCGCATAATTTCGAATTACTTTTGACTGTGCCACAGCTAATTTTTCTTCTTCTGTTAGCTACATTATTTAATGTTTTAAGATAAAATTGCAACATGGAAGTTCAACTGTATTGAGGTAGGTGGTTTAACTGATGGACAGACTGAGGAGTGACACAGATTACTAGATATAGTTAATCCTTTGTAGCACAAGTAGAGGTGCAGCTATTCAGGTAGGACAGGTATGAAAAATTAGTTTCAGTGCTGTGTATAATTACATAACAAAGCGGGTCTTTGCTAACAAGGACTGTGTACCCTTTTATGAAGCGCATAATCTGTCTTGCATTTTGAATACACTCCACAGGACAGCACACAGTACATTTTGATATTACACCAGTTAATAAGTAGGCAGTGAAGCGAGATTTAAGATTTGAAATTAAAATGTAAAACTTGAAAGTACTTGTATTAATCTGAAGTGTTAGCTCGAACTGTGCAAGTTTAACTCCCACACAGAAAATATATCTTCTTCATCATTGATCTTAACAGTGCACAGAAATGGTAAAGTTTCCTCTAGTTCCTTATCCTGCGTCACACATATTTTATCGCACTTCCCTTCTTTCGTCTGCAAAGGTTCAGAGCTCAAAAAGTGTTGTTATAATCAGTGCACAAAGATTAGTAAATTAGTAAAACCCAAAAGCAAGTTATATAAAAAATTAAATGCATCTAATAAATGAAACATAATCCCTTCATAATCACTATTTTACTCATTCAATATTCTATCTAATTACTCTCCCTTCCTGAATTGGCCTGTTTCAGTGTGTATGTGATGTAGGTAAATACTAATATGTACTTCACTGCAAGTATAAGTAGTTTCTTAAAAAGTGGATGAGACATCCAACATCAATCGCCTTGTGATTAAGAAAAGGAAAGACAGAAAAGAAACGTCAAGAAACGTAAATGTTTGCCTGAAGCTGAGTTGATTTACATTAAGATTTTTGCATTGGTGTGTCATGTTATAAGAAATTCTGCACAGCAGCCTGGCAGACAGCATGTTGAGTTATTGTAAACTGGTGATTTTGTATTTTCTTTTGGTATAAAGGATCCAACAGCTCAATAACTTTAATGCTTTAAATTTTAATTACAAGCCATAGCTACTTTATAGTCATTTTGATTTCTCTTACATCCTATCCAAGGTTACCTCAGTTGACACTTAGGTGTAGGTTTTTTATTTTTATAGAGTAACAGTTAAAAATGTAGTTTGAAGGATTATTATTTTATTTTGACAAGTAGTCCAGATTTTAACTTCTGTAATCTACAAAATTTCAACTCACCCTCTCACATATATTAGCTTCAGATGTTTCCTCAAATTGCTCTCATGGCTTGCATAGGAATATACTTTAATACAAATCCTTCAAAGTCCTGCTATTAAAACTGAAGATTTGTCTCTTTTGATTGATATTTTGGTCAATGTGACACACTTTCAGCAATTATTCCCTGTCTAGCTGCACACAAGGGGAAAACATGAGCAATATTATACCATTCTCTTTCTATGACAGTTATAAGTTAACTTAAAAGATTCTAATGCTGAGAACAGCAAAACTGGAAAATACACCATCCTCCAC